CCATCATGGGTCCTCTTAGCAAGATTTGTTCAGAGGAGGCTTGCCATTGCCTTCCCCGGAGGCTGAGAAAATGTGACTTGCCCAGGGGAAAATTCGCTTCATTTCTCCATAACTTCATGTCAGGTATCAATTTGTAGGAATCAAACCCATGCGTCAGAACTCCTAGCAGATTTTCTTAAAGAAGTCCAGGTAAAATCAATATAGCTTTCTCAGGAATACGCATACTTAGCATTGTAGTACCATTGCTTTTGGACTTGAGTGCCATGAAAATCATGGAAAATTAAAACTCAGTGGTATGTATTTCGATTCGAGTCTCACCCCAGCAATAAGACTTAACAGCAAGATCCCAAACATGTTTACTCAGAAGGAAATCCTACCATTTCCCATGGGTTTTATTTTCACGCAAGCCCATTTAGAATTACAGCTTAAGGCACAGGTAATTTTCTTTTTCGATTCAGCCTGGAAACTCTCTCTGCTGATTCTCAAAGCATCTTCCATATCTCTCCTGATTCAGACAATGTTGAATTCCTTCTCCAGGGAATAAATGAATTTGCCTGCCTTTTTTAATTTGGGAGAATCTTTATCTTTTATTGGCGCTCGTCTCAAAATAGCACCTGCTTCTAGAGAACATATTCTTCATTTTAAAATCATCTGCGAATTAATCAGTTACAAGGAGGGTGGTTAACATATATTTATTTAATGAGTTCCCCTTCTACTTCAGCGTAGCCTCTATGCGCAAGAAGACATTATTAAGACTGGCACTTAAAAAAGCATTGAGCACAGTGTAAATGAGCTCTTTGCATACCTGAGCCACATTTGCTGATTGTAGATCAGGGAGATCTACATAAAACAGATGGTAGAATCATAGAGTTGCACAAAATCATTGCACATTGGACTATGACTCTGGAGACCAGGATTCGAATCCCTGCTCAGCCATGGAAACCCACTGGGTGGCCTTGGTCAAGTCACACACTCTCAGCCTCAGAGGAAGGCAAAGGCAAACCCCTCTGAGCAGATCTTGCCATGAAAACCCCAGTGATAGGTTCACCTTAAGTCAAAACCGGTTCAAAGGCACACACACAATAATTTAATGAGGAAATTATGGTCTAAATCCGAATGATAGTCTTGACCAGAGTAGATCCATTCAGTCAGTGGGGTTTACCTATGTGTTGGCTCAACAACTGGTTCAATGGGTCTACTCTAGTAAGGACTAACCAAAAAAATTCCCAACCGTAGTGTGTGTGTTTTGATGTTTTAAAAAGCTGTTTCTTAAGAGCAACATACTTACTCTTGCAAGCAACCCAGAAGGGTTAACAATGAAGTAAACATATTAAACCCATCAAACCACCAGAACTGCAACACTTAGAAGATAAAAAGTTATGTGTTTACCTTTCTTGATCTCCAGGTTCTGCTCACATTACAATACTAAAAAGATAATAAGAGTAGCTTTTATGTTTTGTTTTTACCATGCACCTTCCCCATCGCAAAACCAGATTACAGTAAAAGCAACAGGTATTTATGCAACGATTTAAATAAAAACACCACACTCAAACTCTTCCAGAACTGAGACATCGAAAAGTTCATTTCTTCTGGGGAATATATACATTAAGAGAAGTTAAACACACACAAATAGAGCATCTAGCAACCCAAACTGCTACCTTCTATTCTGGAAATGGGGTCTTAGGCTGCCTCTGTGCTGCAGATTTAATGCAGTTTGACACTGCTTTAACTGCCATGGCTCAATGCTATGGGTTTTGTAATTTTGTGAGCTATTTAGCCTTCCCTGTCAGAGAGGTCTGGTGCCACAACAAAGTACAAATCCTAGGATCCCATAGGATGGAGCCATGGCAGTTAAAGCGGTGTTGAACTGCATTCATTCTGCAGTTTGGCAGGAGATGGACCAAGGGACCCTATGACAAGAAAGACATATGCAAAGTAGGGTTACATGGGACAAAACCAGAATGCTGGGAAATGTTTCTTTTGGAGACTTGCATCTTCAGCTGGGAATGCTGGGAGTTGTGATCCAAAGGAAGAAACATAGGTCTGTCTGGAAGGAATAGACACGTAAGGTTCCAAGTAGGGATTGCAAGACCTGGAATCCTAAAAGCTATTTTCCTAAACTCTGCATGGCGATCAGCTAGAAAGAAACCGGTGTATTGTTTCCTTCCTAGAAGCATAAAAACAAAGACAAATCACCCAGTCTAGAGGTATTCTAAAATTTTCCAGGCCTCTCCAAGTTTGACTAACATTGTCATAATTATTTTTTCCCCTCCTGTATGATTTTTAACCCCTTTTTCCTGATTAAGGAGCTAGCAGAGCTTTGAAAACCTGCAACATGTATTTTGTACATTTGGGTTGCCCCAAATATGAAGGTGTCGAAGAGATAGGTTAAGGAATATTGAGGTGGTAGAGTAGTTAGAAAGAGAGGAAGGAAGTTGGTTAATGAAAAGACAATGAAGAAAGAAAAGTGCTGGTATAAGTAGAAGGT